CCACCTGTTATGCACCAATTTAGAGGAAGGTATCTGTCACCAAGGAGACGAGGATGATATTAAAACACAACATGGTCTTGATTTTAGTTTGCTTTCGTAAAAAGTCAAAACAAGAAGTTGGAGGTCTATATTTCTCCGACTGATAACACTGGGGAACCAATTTTTCTCGCGGTCTCCAGGTCATGCGGCCTCTAGTTGTACTACTAGTCCTGCATATGACCCTGGTTGTTTCACAAGATCCGGCATCATCATCATCATTGGATGCTCTTGGAAGGCAAGAGGGGCTATTTATGGGATTTGACCTAGCAAAGGCGGGGCGTCCTGGTAAGTGTACGCAACGCAAAAGGTTATAGAAAACACATGACGAATGTCCCGTACTCCATCCGGGTTTCAGGAAGGCACAACTCATTTAAAACACTGAAAGAAAAAGAAAAAAGAGGCTACAGATTTTTGTACACATTCATAGTCAAATGTACTCTTTTATTCGTTTTTTGAAATGTCTAAAACCTTTTTTGTTCTCTGAAATATCTATAATTAGTGGGTCTAACCCAGTGCATCGGCTATCCAGAGCTTGAGCGTGCCCCCGTTTTGTGCGCTACGTACTAGGCAATTAGCTAGACGAACCAAACATACTATATCACAATATGCGCTTAAATATTGAGACTGACATGCTTCAAACTACGTTTGATAACGCAGTCTGTACACTAAGATATTTTTTTTATATATTGTAGCCTCGAAGTGCTACAACCTATTGGTCCCTCCGAGCCAACTAGTTGATATGCCCGAAACTTCGCGCAGTGACTCACGCTTATTGTAAACTTCTGTTTATAATGCACGACTTATAATGAACATGACATAAGGCGAACAGCAAATAAAAGGTAAAAAAAATCGAGTTCTTTCGTTTTTTTTTATTATTAAATTATAAAACTTTTCATTTTGCTCTTCCCTTCAATATTTGCCTTTTCTACTTTGATATTCATCTGCCACCCTGTGCTTTCGAACTTTTTATAGATCCTTCGTCAGGTTACTTTCCCGTTCTTTGTTTCTTCTTTACTTGTCTTTGTTTTTTTATGTTTATAGTTGTCAGCCGTATTGCACTTCGTTCTTCAATTAATTTTTGTTTTGCTTCCCATCATGTTTGTGGCATTTCTTTTTGCAATACTATAGCCATACATAAGTTCCCCTTGATGTTCGGCAGTTTTACTTGCTATAATTTTGTGTTCGGATATGTATATATGAACCCATAAATATGCTACAATTTACCTCACACAAACTTACGAATGTAAGGGCATGTCAATACATGCCAGCAGTACATTGGATCAGCGTTTTCACTTGTCAAACGGCTTAACAACGTCCAGTAACAAGGCCACAAAATCATTGGCATTCACTCTCTAACACCATCTTGCAACTTAGTTACGTTATTCCACAGCATGACGAAACGTTTTAACGGGGTGATGTTCAACAAATTAACTCAAGCAGATAACAAGGTGAACCGATAACACATGTTATATGTAAGTTCGCGTAAATTTTAAGACAATGGCTTCGTTCAATTTACCTGCACATCCTAGTGCGGTCTTGATTTATGACTTCCGGTCATATCTCAAGACAGGTACCGGAAGTACATTGCCCTCCACTTTTCTGTACCGGTACAAGTTGTGCAGATACATTGTACTAAGCCAGTGTTTAAGGGTTTATTATGCTTGCCTTTTTTTTTTTTTTTGAGTCGTTATTTTCGTAATTCTTGACTTCTAGAAGTTATCGCAAGGTCATAGTTTCTTTCAGCGGAATGTTATCTGCACCAGATCATATAGTGGTCATTTTAATAAATTATCGCTATGCATATCGTTTACATTGAGCTTTTGTACCTTGTCGTGTATGCATTATTCGGGCGTTGATTCTGTTTCCCACACAGCGAAACCGCCCGCGGAAAAGAAGGGCAAGAAGCTCGATAGGGCGAAGCTCGAAGCCGAAGCCAAAGCCAAACGGGCAGCGAGGCCGATAAAGCAACGGCAAGCCCTGAAACGCGGTATAATTGCCTGCTACCTGGAAAAAATGGCCCTCGAACGGCGCGGAATGAACGCCTTCGTCATACCAGCAATACCGACCGAATTGTGCACTCACGTTGTGTACTCACACCTCAAGGTAGACCAGCGCAGTGGACGCCTCCTCTTCAGAACATTCGACTACAGCACGGACATGAGTGAGCTTGCATTGTAATTCCTACATGGGCTACAAAGAACGTTGAGCAACTCTCATTATACTTCGTTTCACATTAATTCCCATTAAGTTACATTAAGTCGCATCAAATTTGTTTAATAGTGTTTCTTCAGCTTAAACTGACATATTTATGCCTTTAAACCATCCTTTAGAACACGTATTAATGTCAGAACTATAGCTTGCATTGTAATTCCTACATGGGCTACAAAGAACGTTGAGCAACTCTCATTATACTTCGTTTCACATTAATTCCCATTAAGTTACATTAAGTCGCATCAAATTTGTTTAATAGTGTTTCTTCAGCTTAAACTGACATATTTATGCCTTTAAACCATCCTTTAGAACACGTATTATAGTAGGATACGCGCATTTTTTTCACGTCGGTATTTTTTTGCGCGCATAATAGCTTCGTTCGAATTTCCCTGAACCCGCTGCACCGGTGGAAAAAAAGTGTAGGACAGTGCACTTCCGGTATGTGTATTTATATACGTCCAGAAGAATAGGCAGCCTGCAATGCTGTTTGGTTTGGCGCCATCTAGCGACTGAAGCAAGAAATATTGGGTACCCCTGGGAGTGGCGGCTGCATTGTTTAAACGTGAGCTTTTACTCTGGTGGCGCCGCTTAGCCTAGTGTCTGAAGCAAGAAATACTGGGTATCCCTGGAAGCCGTGATCGCGTAACGTGCCAGTAGAGCGGAAGCTACGGCCCTGGCGGGCCAGTCGGAACGTGGCTGCGTATCACCGGAGCGCACCTCAACTCCGAAGAGGTATCAGGCTTTTCGCTGCGTCATGCTCCAATATGTGTGCGTTGCGCTCGTATACGTAGCGCATTTCGAAGCCTTCGGCACGCAATGTGGGGCTTATCGTTCACCCTTTGCCAAGTTACAACGAGACAGGGTATAACCGTGCGCTCTCACCCTGCTGGCGCCGCCTGGCCATTGCCGGCTGGCTATACCGCCTTACACTTTTCTGCACCGGTGCAGGAAGTGCAGGGCAATTCCAACGAAGCTAATGTTACAGTGTTCGATGTTTGTGGGCATGTTTTTATTCGTCCGTGTTCCGATGCACCACCTGGAAGGCATGTTGGTGTTGGTGGTGTTGGTGTTGGTGGCCAGGGATAAATAAACGTACACATAGACGAGCAAAATCCGACCTGAGCAAACGCTACGATGGAGTTAAGGAAGCAGCGCCAAAAGTGTTTCGGCATGTCGAACATCGTCTTTGCACATTCACTATCACCGGCGAAACCAATGCCGCACAGTAAATACGTTGGATTTTTTTTTTGTTGTTTTGTACGTACCTATACTTCGTTTCAGCTTCGGTCCGAGCGCGGCCGATGTTATGAGCCCAAGGACCAATCAAACAGCGAAAGAGGCACAACGTCATGGCGTGCTCTCTGCAGTTGACAGGACCAGCCGGTATTCGCCGTCTCTCTGTGCGTGCTCCTCCGCGGGATAGTCTTATCAAGCGCAGAGAGCACGTCATGACGCTTCCCTTTTTGCGGTGTTTGATTGGCACTTCGGCTCATAACATCGGCCGCGCTCGGTCCGAAGCTGAAACGAAGTATAGTGTAGCCGGTGATATCAAACTCGCAGAAAAGACGAGCGCCGTGACGGTGCACTATTGGAGCTGCTTGATTATCTCCATCCGATAGGAGTGCTGGCAGCGGTCGGGCTTAATGTGAAACAGAGTAGAACAATCAGTTCAGACAGAAAACCAACACGACTTAATATTGTTGGTTCATTTATCAAAATAGCTTTCCTACGCTGCACATGTTTTGTTCACTTTGGTATTAGGATTTTCTTTTTCCCAGTAACTCTCTAATGTGTCTCTAGGAATTACGAAAGAAACACAAAAAGCCTTTGATTTTAACGCAATAACACGCAAAGGTGCAAGCGAGCTGGACAAGAATGACGAAAATAAACCCTGGAGAAGGGGAACAAGAGGGACAAAGGACAAAAAGAAATCTCCAAACACAGCTAGGTGACTGGTGAGCGACCGAAAAAATCCACCCGATCCGGGTATCGAACCCGGGACGTCTCCATTTCCAGTGGAGAGCTCTACCAAGTGAGCTAACCAGGGGTTAGACGTCAGTAGCGCAAACAGGTTTTATCAGCTGCCACCAGTCTGACACCAACAAGGGTGAAATCCTTGCATTTTAGAGCTATGATTATACTGCGTTTGTCCTTCGTCCCTCTTGTTCCCCTTCTCCGGGGTTTATTTTCGTCACTGAAATCGTGTTTGTTCTTCAATTTTATTTAACAAATAAGAAACGCGGTAATAACTTGTCGCTTTCCATAATTAGTTCTGAATTTAGTAGGGGCTTTGAAAATACTTTTCCTCAGCGCGTGCTCTATACCGTAACGTTTCGGGGTAAGGAATAGTTTTTCTTCGGGTACTGTATGCGGAGCGTAGGTAGGTCTGCTTTTTGCGCGTGGGTTGCAGTGACGTCAAAACAACGAGCTCTGATTGGCTCTGATTGGAGGAATAGTGGCTAGTTCTCATGGCAGCTATACATTGAGATCTACCCATTATTCCTCCAATCAGAGCCACTCTCAGGTCGGCTTTTTGACGTCACTGATACCCACACGCATGAAGCAGACGAACTTGCGTGCGCATGAAAAATGTTCCCACCATTGTGTGTGCATTTTGGTTTATTCTGTTCAGCTAATCATTTTTACAAATAATGAACCGACTTTCTCAGCTGAAGCCAAGGAAACGTAACGAGTCATACCCTTAGTTTCTCGTGCAGTCAGTGACAATAGCGGAAGCAGTTTACGGACTAATGACTCGTATGGTTTGGAACTCTTTCTCACCAACAGGCTCTTTGAGGAAACTTTACTCCCTCAAACGTTTGAATCCGGACCTCAAGTTGATCATCGCTTACGGCAACGGAAAAAATGCGGGGGAGTTAATGCGCGTCATCGGATCACGAAGGAGACGGGACGAGTTCGTAGACAGCACCGTCTTGTTGATTCTGCGCTTCGGCTTTGACGGCTTGAATCTTCACTGGGAGGGCCCCGGACCATCGATCTGCAAGCCCAACCTCGATAAGCTCTACAGATTTCTAAAGGCAATATTTCGGATTCTGTATCATTCTGCAGCCTGAGATAAGGTTGATAGCTGGGCTATTTGGTAATCGTTGAAAATAATGGGATAAAACAGCGCAAAAGATACATAAGGGAGAGACAAGCCGGGCAGCGCTCTGTCCTGTCCGGTTTGTCTCTATCTGTTGCGCTGTTTTATCCTATTATGTATGTACTACACCCTAAGATATGTGAGTTGTCTTTCCTGCGGAAGAAAAAGACAGCCAGTCACGCCAAAAAATAATATGATTCCAGCGAACGATGAAGCTTGTTTTTATGCTTTGGTCGCGGCGAATATGAAATATGACTGGGCATCAGATGCCACATCAGAAAGACAGTGCGAGGGAGAAAAGGGCGCGCTCGACAATGTGGAAAGAAGGTCGCTTCTCTCCACTTCAGCTTTCCTAGTTTCCGCCCATTTCCCCCTCGCACTGTCTTTTTAATGCTGTATCTGTCTATAGAATATTTGTTTTTTTAACATCCGAACTTTTCTTTGTTTACTTTTTTTTCCCTTGTACCGTTTCTGGCGTGTCCCACGCAGAAACTTCCTTGGCTTATTTGGATATTAAGTTGTGAAAGGTGAGACAAACGGACTTATTTTATTGCATGGTATAATGTATACTATAAAACATAAAATACGACTAGATCTGAAAAAAAGTGCAATGTGAGTGAAACGTTAAGCCCAATGTCCCTGCGCACATCGCATCTTCTTTTCCTTTTTGAATCATAATCCGAGTTTGGTCATTCGCTGGGATCTTGGTGCTGTTTGCCGTGATTTGTTGTCTCGTCCTCTGCAGGAAAGTGAACCCACGAAACGTTTCATAAAGTGTGAACACATTTCCATAGCAGTTATTGCATAGACCAAAAATAAGAATCACCGGGTTGTTGACGCATGCACGGCGTGACAATATTGCGCAGGAGAAAGCGTCTGCGCATGCTCAGAAAGACGTTCCACAAGTCAGTAGGGGAAGATGGCGGCGCGCACAAGGCGATTATTGTAATGGCTTGTAGACCCTGACAGCTTAAGAAACAAAGTTCGTGGCGAGTCCTGAGGGTCTTAACGGGTAGCCAATAAGATTGGGAGATTAAGAATGCCAAAGAGCGAATCACGAACCTAGGAGCGCCTTACATGGTAAGTTAAGAATCGCGTTTCTTGAGCGCTCACCGATTATATCATATTTTAACCGCGTCACCGAGAATGATAGCCTATTCTCGCGACGTGCACACGCCTGCCTATCATAACTTAAATGCTTTTGTGTTCATAGTGCGCTTGCCAATATCTAGAAATAGGAATATGTTGGGATGAAAATTTGCTCGCGACAGCTATCTTGGTCAGATGCTAAAATGCGGATGTACCGTATATTCCCGAACAAACGCTCCCCCCCACCCCCCCCCCAGCCAATATAGACCAACTCACATTTTTAGAGCGCAGCTCTTAGGGGCCCGTTTCCGGCTTGATCGGCGTCGCCGTCGGCGTAACCTCGAGGTCACGTGACCCCCCAGAGGTTACGTGACCTCCCTGAGGCCATGTGACCCGCCTGAGGCCACGTGATTCCCCTGAGGCCATGTGATTCCCCTGAAGCCACGTGATTCCCCTGAGGTCACGTGACCCCCTGAGGTCACATGATTCCCCTGAGGTCACGTGACCCCCGAGGTCACGTGACCCGCCGAGGCTACGTGACCCGCCTGAGGCCACGTGAATCCCCTGAGGACACGTGATTCCCCTGGGGCCACGTGACCCCTGAGGTCACGTGACCCTCCCCCCCCCCCCCCGAGGTCACGTGACCCCCTGACGTCACACGACCCCCCGCCCCCCCTGAGGTAACGTGACCTCAAGTAGTCACCTATCCCTCAGTACGCTTCCATCCTCCTCCTCAAGAGCTGCGCTCTAACCGGCGTTACAGGGAATTGTAAACGGCTTTCATTTTTTTTATTTTTGTATATCTCCATCATGTGTGTTTGTGTTCAATACGCAGCACAAGTTCGTCTGCTTCTTTTGCAGGGGCTGTGATGACGTCAGAAAACCGAGCTCTTATTGGCTCTGATTGAAGGATAGTGGGTAGATATTCAAAGCAAGCTTGCCTTGGGGTCTACCCACTGTCCTTCAATCAGAGTCAATCAGAGCTTGGCGTTCTGACGTCACCACAACTCCTGCAAAAAAAAAGCAGACGAACTTACGCTACGCATACGCCACCTGGGCTGAAGCGTTGAACAAACGAAGGCGCCCTTATTTTGGGTGGTACAACAAACTCAACTGATTGGGTCTCGCGCTATTTGTGGCGCCTTCGTTGAGCTGTTTCTGTTTTTGAGTAGTGCCGAAGATTGCAAGAAAAGTACCTTTCGACTTCCAAAATCGGCTAGATTTAACGTCGTAAGACCTGAACCGTGTATGGAGAGAGTTTTGTCAATGAGAGGCGCAGACAGAGCCAGGGCGTGCACCAAACGCAGAAAGAGGGCTTGACATGCTCTCTTGGACAACCAGAGGCCGAAAAGAATCCCCTAGTGGTGGTAGCGAGAAACAGTTTGAATCATAGGTCTATGGTTTTAATGAGCGCGTAAGAGTTAAATCTAGTGACTCTTCATGGTTGAAAATAGGGTGCACGTGATGTTTCAATCAGGATCATGCAAAAAAGATGTAAGAAACGAATGTGCCACTCAACTCTGTTTTGCTCGGACAGAGTGTGACCGCTCAGACGGCAGATTCATGGTACCCGGCTTCTGGCGTACGGATTATGTCGATCGTTCCGCCAGTCGCACTCTTCCAGCATGATTTTGAATGGCCGTGATTGGAACCTCACGTGCACCATATTTTCAATCACCGAGAGTTACTCCGACGCACTTATTAGGTTTGTTTCTCGCGACCGCCACCAGGGTATTATTCCCAACTTCTGGTTGGCCACATTCGAATTCGTGAAGACGCCCTGGAACACGTCCAGCCCGCTTTCGGCCAATAGGACCTCCTGATTTGCCTCCTTTACTTTCCTATTATTGGCCAAACTCTCTCAATACACGGCTCTTCGTAAGACAATCGAAAGTCCCAGATTCACGCCACCACCGCGAGGCGACGCGTCTCTTATTTCCGGGGGATGGCGTCAAAATATCTAAAATCCCGACTGTTTTTTTCTTTTGTTGTTTTTTTTCGGTTCGGAAGGCGTGATTTTGCGTCGTTTGACTCACGCTCTTGGCGTCTTAGCTTTGACCTGTGCTTCGACGGCGTTCGAATTCTTGTGTTTTTGTTTGTATTTTCTAGTTTTCGCACCAAAGCAGGCACGCTTCTACAGTGTGACAGTTTGAGACGCTAAAGTCTGTACTGCCCCAATCAAGTTTTAACAAGTTCCTTTTCGCAGCGCCCGCTGGGCAACGCAGAAAGCCTATCTAGATTTTACGGTATAATATACTTTTGCAAATAATGGTTTATATCAGAACTTTCAATATATGAGATGGAAGTAGAGCTGTTAGTTGATAATGTGCATCTCCATGCGTGTCCTGAAAGTGACTTTACACCAGCAAGCGCTTGGAAGTATTATGTAACCAAAGGCCAGTGTTAATCCAAAATGTGAATTCAAGTTATAAAAATATAGACATAATTTCTTTGAGTTCTAGAACTTGTAGACACGTAGAAATACTTGCCTACTGTAATCTAGATAAAATATCTAAATGTTTCAAGAAAATTAAAAAAAAAACATTTACACCGAAAATTAAAAAAAAAAAAATTAAATATCATTCTCACGATCACACCTCCAATAAAAAATACCTATGGAAAATATAACTACCAGGTATCCTTACAATGTCACGCTAATATTACGGTTTATGAGCGGCCGATTGGACATGACTTTAATATTCACCCGTTTGAGACGTTTTTTTTTATTTTTTGATTTCAAAGCAACCTTCCTTATATCCTAAATTTATTTAGCCTAAATCATAACTACATTAAAATTAACCAGTTCGGGCTATTAGTTTATTGGAATTCAGCCCGTGACTATATGATCTCGCTGGGCCCTTGGGGGGAACAAAAATGCATGAATTAATAATATTTTATTTTTAGCCTTGAAACACTAGAAAATTAACCATTTCGTCGTTTACCCTGAGACTGGGGGTAAACGACGAAATGGTTGACTTCCACCAGCTAGCCTGTACTTTGACTCTCTACTAGAAAATTACTTTAGCGAAAAGTTAGCCACTGTTAGGCATTTTTGTACAGTTCGGCACAGTTGGAACAGTTAGGAATTGTCATGATAGGGCAGGAAACGTAGCACGCATATGCCGATGTCGAACTTTCTGCATTGCGAGCGTACGGTACCTTGACAGTCGCCCCGAGCGTAACGGCGCTTATTTCCTTCAGGCACCGGTTCAACAAAGTCGGCCGCTTGATCGTGTCGCACAAGTGAAGACAGTGTCACCTGTTGCAGGAGTTCACCATTGACCAGATCCTTTATTTTTGTTGTTACAGCGTGTCAAATAACTTTGCTCTATTGTCTTATGAATTCCAGTTCGAAGATGTTGGTCCCTGTGCTACGGCCGAGCGCACAACCGTTGTTGATGATACCATTTCCTTCTATGTGGGCGAATATAACCAGACAGAATCGGAACTCCTTTTAAGCACCTAATCTCTTCACTTGTCCCCTCTAAATTTGCTGTATTAAAAAAGACTCCTTTTGCGTTTTTTCAACCAGTAACTCCACAAAAACTTCATATAAAAATACAAAAATAAACCTTTAACAGCTGATTTGCTGTCATATCCCGGTATGAAGTCAAATTCGCCTCAGAGAATAATGCGGCATTTTTCTCTAGATCCGCACTGTTCCACTCAGAAGTAGAAGGTTTCTTTTTGTGGGCGCCTCGGTTTCTCGAAAGCAGCGAGGCCATCTAATGTGTCATCTTCTTCATCAATACCGACTTCATCGTCATCGGTATCGCATCCTCTATTTCGACGTCCATCCTCGAGGACCCTTTCAGGGCCGGCTTTCAGCTTCCGCCCTCTGAGGTTGTCGATCAACCCACCAGGATCGTCTTCCGAGGAGTCCTCACTGGACTGTAGAACAGCATCGGGCGGTTCAGTGTAGATTGCTGAGACTTCTCCCTCGTCTTCGCCCAGTATCTCGGCTATCTCTTCCAACGTCAACTTAAGGTCCCAACCTACTATAACAGCTTTATGAGGGCTCAGATGTCAATAAAAAAGAAAGTTTGCACAAGAAAGCATTTACCCTCGGAAGCGCGGCATGGCGACGCGTCTTTCTCGTGAGCGTTGTTTCCTAGGCTTCTGGATGCCTTCCACAAGAAGATAGACACGTCCTGATACTTGGGGCGTAAAATGTGCACTATAGGTCTTCGAAGAGCGCAACTGCGGACCCTATGACCCGTTTTTTTTTTTGTGTCGTATATATTGAAAGAATTGGAGCGGTCTTGCGTCACCATTTGATCACGCTGGGACTTAGTGGGTTGGTATATCCTACGAGATGAAGGAAATAGCCCTCCAGAATCAAAATAAAGTTCTCTATGCAAAAAGCATAAATTAATTCTAAAAAAAAATGCAGAGGTCTTTTTTTTAGGAACATGCGTTACCAATAACCTTTTGAGCGTCAATCGTATGTGCGCCCGCGTCCTTAGCGGACTTGGATCAAATATCTGTCCGCCTCCATCCACTGTCACCTTTCGAACGTTCTTTCTGGTCTCGCAGGAATTAAAGCTCGCCTTGGAAAAACACAATCTCGAACTGAGCGTCATGTTGCCTGCCTGCCGGCTTACTTGTCCTGGCGACCTAAACATGTGGAGACTGGCCCAGTAAGTAAACTCCAAGAAATCCGTAAACTACGCTGGTGGGCTCGTATAATTAAAAAGGATCGATCGTATCGGGGGATTTGATAGAGTCAAACTGACAGAACCTATTCGCCGGGATAGATAGGAGAACGAATCTGTCGTCGCATCCGCCCCTGCGTAAAGTTTGTTTCGGTTGAGGTTAATAAATACATTCTAATATCTCATTTTCTATTGAACGTTCCTAGCTTCCTTGTTTATCTCCTTTTCTCGTTCTGTATTTACACTTCTTATATTTAAATATCACATTCCTCTTTTCTTTTTTCTCTCTCGCCCTTTATAGTTGCCGATTTCCACACAACGCACAAAGGCGCTGAATAGCCTGTTGCAAAATAACAGCTAAAAAAACTCCAACCCAGCCTTCCTGCAAAAATAAATAAATAAATAAATAACGTTATTACATTGCCCAGTTGGGACGTACAATTTTTTCGGATTTAGGCGGGGAGACCATCTGCCGATCAATCGTCGCACTAACTGCTAATCCTAACTGTTCATCCTAACATAATTCTCAGATTAATTTAACAAAATATTTCTAGCTCCATCTAGTGAATGTCTGCAGTAAAGACAAAGGCGCAGGCGCGTGAACCTCGCTCAGCAGAATGCCTTTGTTTGTGCGAGACCTTGGGCGTGAGAGTAACCTTCCAAAGTCACGCGCTCGTGTCCGTGCCTCGGTTTTCTCTGCAAATGCCTGTGATATAAAGTACAATATAGCCACAAAAAATGTTTGGCTTATGTAAACATTTAGTTTTAGCATTAATCCCTAATATGCTTATTTCGGGCAGAGCGCCAGACATGGAGCAAGCTGTTATCATTCTATTTA